ACTTTATAGGATTCAAAATTACTATTGAATTTTTACGTGAAAAGAGCATGTTAAATAAGAAAATGTTATATTAAAAAATATATATATATAAATTAATTATAAAAAATTTAATTTTTTTTTTTTTTGAATAGGGAGAATTTGAAGGGCAAAAGAAATAAACTTAGGATTTGAACTCAAGTTATTATGTCTACCACAACCATTCAAAGGGGTGGCTATTAGGTCACCAAGGATTAGGCAAAAAATTTAATTTATTTATTATAAATTAAATACAAAATTTACATTATAACTCACAAAATTAATTTTCACATAAATCAGCATATGTAAAAATGTTTGTCAGCCTATGTTGTTTTTATTTGTTGCGTTCACCTTGTAACTAGCCCATTAATACTTCTACCAAGGGCATCCCATGTCAATCTTTGATACTCCTCACTGCTTAAACCTCCTTCATCATACAGGGCAGTTTGAAAGAGGGAATGTAAACTCTGCCGCTCCTACAACCAGATTCGAAGCATCAGTATTCAAGCAACATTGTCCTTATTGCTAAAATTTATTATCAGTAATATGTTTCTTGTTGTTAAAAGTTCAACTCACTTTTTGAAAATTAAGTATTATATAGGTACCAGTAACATAAGTTTTATCAATGAAAATCTATATCACGGACAAATATTTTCATGTTGGTGATAGTATGTTGTTAAAAAGCAAAATTTTAGTAGCATTCCTGTAGAGCTGGTTGTCTCTGAGATTTCGGTCCTTATTCCCGTTCCTACTTTCAGGTTCACGTCGTATGTGCCCATCAGCCCCCCTCCCCCCCCCCTACCTTTCTCTTCTATTTCTCTTCAACAGCCCACTGTTAGGGGTGATCGTGGTTCGAATAGATCAGTTTTAACTATTTTTCTAACTAATTTAATAAAATCAAATTGAAGAAATGTCAAACTAAATCAATTCAGTTAATATATTACAACCAAATCAATCAATTATTATGGATGGGATTGGTTTAGATTGTATTGAATGCTTTTGTCTCAAAGAAAAAAAAATTGGGAGTTTGATTATATTGCTATTTATTTTGTAAATTTAAGTATATAAAAATAAAAACAAAACCAAAGTAAGACAGGAAAGTATTATATAACATAATTTATAGGATTAGGATGAATAAATAATGAGATTATAAGAATTAGGAAAAGTTTTTTTTTTTATTTATTTTTTTTATTTTTATTTGGATTTGGTGGTCCTTGGATTAAATTTTTAATTCAACTTATTTTGTTTATTTTTTTATTTTTTATCCGAATTGATCTAATTAAATAAAAAAATTTAATCAATTTTTAATTGAATTGATTTACATTTTATTGGTTTAATTTGATTGATTTGGATCTGAACACCCCAACTTGTGATCATCATCCTCACTGTCACTATAATTCCTCCTAGCCATAACAGGAAAACCAAACAATGAGTTGCAAAGATCCATCACAAATGCGAACCAGACAATCACATTTAGACTTACAAGTTCCATCCATACCATGGAAAATTTTAAATGAAAGAATTACAAGAGATACTTCAGGAGTGGTCTAACTCAATAAAAGGATGCACATTCAAGCGTCCTATTTCTCTCTTTTTTCCTTTTTCTTTTTTTCAAATGACATGGAAAATTTTTTTATTCAGTCAGAAACTTGGTGCCTGTTGAACTTGAACCAAAACGTCTTGCTGCTGCAGGGATAACCCGGGATGGGGACAGAACTTCTGCAAAGGAAAATCTATATGAATCTGTCCCTAACCGGCTCTGTAGCCACCCTCTGCTTCCGGAAAAGCCATCAGCTACAACCCAGCAGTTCTTGAAACCAAGGTCTGTTAGTGTTCTTGCAACCATCTTTGCTGAATCTGAATACCTGAACATCCAAAAGATAGGAAGCTTTACTGTGAGTGAGATGGCAGAAGAGGAAGCTTTGTCTTGTGTATCAAAGAGATTCGAGAGGAAGAACTCACGAGTCCATGATCACAATGTTGGAGCCTTTGTTAATTCTCTTGAGGTAGGAGATCTTTAAGGCTGCAATTTCAGCTTCTACTTTCCTCACATTTCTCACAAGGCCTCTCAACTTACTTGGTAGCTCTTCCAGGCTGAAACATTAGAAATTAGAAACAACGATGAAAAGTGTAAATGACAGTTTCAATGCTCACCACAAATAAACATCAATGGCAGTAGTCATATGTGAAACTTGACATCCTACAGGAGCAAGAGCAGGACTGCAACCCTGCATCCTTAAATCTGAATTTTCACTACAAGAAATGCACTATTAGGGGAGAAAATGTACTTACGGAATTGCAATCATCTTGTTCTTGGCACTAGAAGGAAGACGGGGAACACCAGCCTTGTTCTTGTCATTCTCTGATCGAATATCAATCATAACATAATTGTTCGAGGTTATGAGATCAAGTGCCTGAGCAGGAGTAAGCTTGCCTAGAGAACAACAAATATGGAACATATGAGCCCCACTTTTGATATTAACATCTTGAGAACATATATTAAACTCCATATGATGGAATTCAAAATCCATAATATCTTCCACATAGAATACTACGGGGAAAAAAAATGATATAACCCATTTACATTTTTTCCCCAAAGTTATTAGGTAGGAACTAGAATAAATTATGCAAATACATATCAAGAAACAGTAAATTCACCTTTGTAACCCCGTAGGCTAAAGGAGATGGCAGACCAAATGGGAGGAAGGACAAGATATGCAACGAATAATGCTCCACCTGTTACAACAACTGTAGTGGGATCTGCTGATGAGATGGCTTCAACGGTTGAAGAAGCAATTGGCTTGGCCCTTTCAATTACCTTTGTGGTTTGCTGTGCAGCACCAGCTACTGTCTGTGACCAAAATCATTGTATGAATTTTATGAGCACAAACGCTTGGAAGAAAACTCATCTCTAATAAGACAACATGATTAATGTGAATATGTCAGGTTTTAGTAGCTGTCATTAAAACTGAACTGATCCTATCATGGTCCCCTACTCACCAATTGAAAAATAAGTTACTTATAGATTATGAAGACACAATTATAAGAACCAAATTGAAAGTAAGATGGTCTTCAGATAACAAAAGTGTTGTGTTTCGACCCCTACTGCAAATACTTGAATATCAAAAGTAGGTCTTTTCAAGCACATGTGAATAACATTGAGTGCAGACCAAAATCTTTTAAATCTCAGAAGTGGCAAGTGGCTTAATCAATTTCCAAATGTACTTTACTATCACGCCCCAAAATCAACATCAAAAAATAATTGACTAGGCTCCTTACTCTCTATTATTAGATGAAAAGCCAAGGCACAACCAAAGTATATATTTTTTTTTCAGAAGTACTGGAAGAAGGGAAAAAATGGTTAAACCTTAGCAGCAGTGAGAACCGGCTCTGTGTCAAGACCAGTGCTTTGGATTACTTCTTGGGCTTTCTTTGAGGCCTCAGATATGGCTGGGGAAGCCGCCTTCAGTGCCTGCTCTCCAGCTTGCTGCACAGTAGGCAATGCTGCATCTATAGTTGGCTTCAAAGCTTTCGCTACAACATCAATAACCCTCTGTACGGTATCCAAGACACTCGAACCCACCTCTTGAACCTGATCAATTGTTTTCTCTACCTATAAATGAACCAATTTCAGTACATGGGCAATTATGGGTCTTCTACAACTAAACAAAACACCTTCAAAGTTGCTTGATTTCTATGTTTGCAACATCAATTTGAGAAATGGCTAAATAGGTATAAAAAATGTATTGAATTTTGAAAAGGGTAACTAGAAACATGCAAATATTCCTGTAAATGCAATTCAGAATCTTACCTCAGTGAGAGACGAGACAATCTGATCTTTGCTAAGACTGACAGCTTTGGCCTCATGAAGGGGTGAAACGAGAGCCAAGAGAGAGATGGTGGCTGATGCTGGCAGTGAAAGAGAGATGGGCCTGAATTGGGCCTTTGAAGAAGCCCTTGTTGTTGGGGCCAGAGAAGTTGAGGAAGAAGAAGAAGAAGAAGAAGAAGAAGAAAAAGAAGCAGAAGGAAGAGAAAGTTTTGCAGTGACTGAAGATCTGATTGCCATCTCCACTGCCATTCTTCCTCCCCTCAGTGACACAGGGAAAGCATGAAGAAAATTTTTGTCTCTTTTTTAAGTGTCTGGTTGATGGAAATCTCAGCATTTTGTGATGAGAAATAGATGGCTCAGAAATTAGGAGTTTCTTGGCTTCTTGGGCCCCATATTGTCCTACGTGGCATTACAGAGAATTTAGTGCAACCACCAGCAATACTCCACGTGGCATGTTGTGTCAGAATGCATACCACCAAAAGCAATTGGGCTGGGCCGCAGGTTTGGATCAGCCTGCTTCAATTGTAAGCATGTTTCTAGTACAGTTCAAACTGCGTTTCTTAATTAAGAACATTTTCCTACTTAATTAAGAACATTCAAATTATTATTATAAAAAAAAAAAAGAGAAAGAAAATTCAACTGCTCTCTCTTATGCAACGTTGTGTAATTAAGAGTTTTGATCTTTATATTAAAAATTTTGAATTTGAGTTTTAAGATGAAAAAAAAAAAATACATCTCTTATTTCATAAATTATTATTTAAGGTATTAATATATATATGTATATAGTTGCATATCAAAAACTCTCATTATCATAATATCATAAGAGGAAAGTTAGATATGCGCAAAGAGGGTCAGCTGAACAGCCTGAACTGTTAAGGATG